CAGATGACCTATTGGTCTGAAAGAATGATGATTTGCCACAGGACAGGTGCAGGCAACATACATCCAATAAAGCAACTATTAGACCAATTTCTCTGGAGCAATAGGAATTTTTCCAGTGCTGAAGTACAACAAATCTAGAAGGATGGAATCATACAATGTATGTGGAGTCAGCTGCAGTAATGATTTTTTATGAAGAAAATGAAGATAAGCTAAGGTTCCAGGATGACTTTAGACAAGTGAACATGGTAACTCACATTGATGTTTTTCATTCACCATAAACAGACGAATGTTTGGATTTGGTAAAAGGAACCCACTGATTCAACTCTTTGGATCTTACATCCTGGTACTGGCCATTCAAGCTAGATGACAAGAGCAGACCTAAAACTGCATTTAGCACTAGAGATGACTTGTATAAATTTTCGATAATGCTATTCAGTTTGTGTAACATGACCACCACTTTCAAGAAGCTAGCGAAGCTTACACTTAAGGAACTGCAATGAAAAACTTTCTGGTCTATACTGACAATAATTTAGCATTTGGTCTAACATTTTAGTATGCAGCTGAGAACCCGAGAATAAATAAAACAGGCCTAAAACTGAAACCCAGAAAGTGCTTGCTCATCTACATGAAGGTGGAGTTTCTTGGTCACTTTGAAGGGAGAGTTGGAATCTCTATAAACTTGGTTAAGATAGCTATGGTGAGATATTGGGAAGAAGTCCACAGTGCTCTTAGTTTTAAATCATATTACTAATGATTTGTGGCCTCATTGTCTGCTTCTATTAAGTTTATATGTTCTTTGAATAAAACAAGAAATGTGACCAAGCATTCCAATCATCTCCCGGTGAGACAGTGGTAAGTCTACAGAGTTCCAACAATAAATTATAATCATGATTTAGATTCCCCGTGGTGGACAGAGCAGATAGCTCAATGTGGATTTGCTCTAAAACAAACACACACACACACACACACATTCCAATCCCTAAAGCTTGCTTTAATGGATGCTCCAGTGGTAGCCAATCCACAACAAAACAGCAAGTTATTGACGAGGGTGACCTAGCATGATAAGAGTCCTAATAAAGCTTGGGGTAAATCTGAGGGCTTATGACGATAAAAATTGAGCAGAGCACAGATAACTGATTGTGTAGCTTTGCGCTTAACAACAAACAAAGCTAAACTGTAGTAGGATATACCCTAGGGTCTCATAAATGAATATTTACAAAATCATGTAGTAAAATATGATATCATGAATGAGAGCCAACATGGATTCACCAAAGGGAAATCTTGTCTTGCTAATCTGTTTTTTAGTTGTGTGTGTGTGTGTGTGTGTGTTTCCGAGAACGTTACTTGTATTTGGATGATATGAAATATGTGAACTTGGTATACTTCGAATTTCCAAATGCTTCTGATAAGGTGCCACACAACAGATTAGCTAAGAAAATCGAATTAGTATGGGTTGGGGGAAGACTATTTGATTGGATTATAGGATATTTGAATAGAAAAAAAGCAAAAGATTGTTATTAATGGCTTCCAGTCAAATTAGATTATTGCTACTAGTAGAGTTATATTGATAGGAGCATAATTAGCACGTCAATTAAGTTTGCTAATGACATTATACTCTTGGTTATTTCTAGTTGTATTGGGAATGTTGAAGAAGTACAGAAGGACTTGGAACAATTGGTTATTAATGAGAAAAATATGGGGCAACTAGCCTTTAATTATAGTAAGTACAAGATAATGTATTTGGGTTATCACAAACTGTATCATACATCTCGAATGCATATGTAGTTGGTCCTGTTTGACTAACCTTGTAACCATGAGACTATACATACTATAACATGGAATTTACTAAGTGTATCTTCAGGAAATTTGGCAAGTTCAAGTAAAAATATGGGTTGTTTGTTTGTAGTTAAGCACAACGTTACACAATAGGCTATCTGTATTGTGCCCGCCATGGGTATCGAAACCCGTTTTCTAGTGTTATAAGTCTGCAGACTTTCCGCTGTGCCACTAGGAGGCAAGTAAAAGATTATAAGTCCGTGCACACACAAAATCAGATTTTATCATAAAGTATTATTACTAAATATTTGTCAGTAAATTTACAAAGCCTTTACTAAGTCAGTCTTAGTGTGCCCATAGTGACACGCGGTATGCCTGCAGACCTACAATGCTAGAAACCGCGTTTCGATACTTGTGGTGGGCAGAACACACATAGCCCATTGTGTAGTTCTATAGTTGCTTGTTCTTTCATGGCTTCTATACCTTTAAAAGCCTCAGACTTTTTTACGAGGGGAATTCGTCTGGCTAACTGACTTATTGGAATTACATTTCCAGTATCAATCTTGTGAGATATTTTGCTTGTTTAGCCTAAGTCATGAGGTCTACTGAAGGTGTATTGATGTTTCTTGAACCTGTTACATAACTGCTAGCACTAGTCAGTTGTAAGATCTCCACATACAATTCTAGTAAGTGATGTGCTAAGCTACACTTATGTAAGGATTTAACATCAGACTTCCTACACCTTTCCCAAAGGTGGCTATTTCTGGTGTTCTTTGATGTGGAAGTACTATCTATACAGACTCACACTGGATTATTTGGTTCTATTATGGCACAGCTAGTAGGTGTAAATTTATTTTTAACAAGTCTCGGTATGAGTTTTTCATTTCTTGGTGGAACAATGACTGTTCTTCTTGTTGGTATGGAAAGTTTAACCTGTGGTGTAGTAACTGTCAACAGGAAGTTTGTTCCCAATGGGCACCCATCCTTGATGTCAATTATTTACACACCATGAGACATAGAGAAGTTTCATAAGGTAAAGGTAACTTCTAATTATCTTCTTGCAGAAATTTTATGTCCACTTTCTGTTTGCATCACTCTCTCTTCTTTCTTTATATCTCGAAGCAATTTCCTCACGTTAACAAAGTGAGTAAAACTATTGTTACGACAGCGGAATTCACGTGACGCTGGTAACATGTAATGAGTATCTAGAATGTTCGTGAAGGCTCGAGTGTTCTCCAGACTGGCGAGAAGTGACGGCATAGATATAGATAATTGCATATAAAGACGG